CGCCTCACATAGAAATTGAAAAGTGATGCTTTGATTTTAATATCACACACACGCAGCACATATACTCATGCATATGCGCAATATTAGCTTTTTTATTGCATTTTTGTGTACGTAAAGTAAGTGAAAATAACATACACTGCCCTTCTGCAGCAGAAGAAAATAATAAATATGCATACAGTTGAACATATGTGTGCAATAAATGGAGAAAAACGCACGATCTCTCGCCCAACTGCTCCATCCACCAACTCTACAGACAGCCTTTGTTACGCAAATTTGAAACTTGAAAAGAATGAGTATTCGGACAAGCTGAGATCTAAGTAGAGATTTTATTCCTTAGCTGGTTCAAAAAGTTATTGAATGTGTTTTGGAACTTCCGCTTGGCTGACCTTAGCGAAGTCCCAGAAATTAAAAGAATGTCAGGTTCGCCAGAAAACTGACCAATAGACGATCAGCATTGGTCAAAGCACCTGGAAACACACCAGCGCCATTACTTTAGATCACTCCATAATCAGCTTAATTAGTTGGTCAGCGTGTCAGAGTAGTAGGATATACTCATAATAGAAATGCCGGAAAGTTTGGTGTAACGAAAGAACTACGACATAAGAGCAAAAATAAATTTTTAAAAGACTAGTAAAGGTGAATAAAAGTCACTTTGATAACGGGTAGGGTTCATAGTCTTTCAATAAAATTGAAATTTTTCAAGCCCACGAAGCAGGCATGACTCTGTTACGTGATTAGTTTTCCTTACACTCTGATCCCAGTGCTTTTAGGACAGTAACGTTACTTATTACTGCGTCGTGCTCGCAAAATTGCAAAGTTAGGTCTTGCAAAGAGAGATAGATGCATCGGTCGGTGGCGGAAAAGGCATGCTTGCAGTCAGATATTCCTCATGTGCACAGTTCCATTGGCACCAAGAATGCAAGGATCGTCCGTCAATTGCTGTAGTTATGGTACTAGTTTTTCTCGCTCGCTGGACAGGGCTAATAAAATAAAATATTTGAAATGAACCAGTGCAATATTCTCCGGTGTACTGCAGCACGCAATTGCATTTCAAGTACTTCAGAAGAGGCGCTGTTGGAAACGTTTCAATGGCGCAGCCACCGTAGCGACACGGATTCATTGGATTTAGGTACGCGCTTAGCTCATGCTCATTGTCACAGTCTTGCACATCTGAAAAAAGAAACGCAGTTAACTGACGAAACCAACCGGAAATTAGCAACGGTTACTGAGAAAGCGGGGTCGAATCCAGACAGAAACGGCCCGAAACAATTTAGGAAGAACAGTTTGAATCCTGCCAACCATACTGCTTTTTTTGTCGAAGAACTTCCTATACTGAATCAAGTTTTAAAAAAAAAAGGCGTTCCTCACAATTAATTAATTTGATAGCAAAAGCAGAAAGAGGGAACCACCGACAGCCTCATCAGCAGCTACATGTGCAGAGGTTAGCAAGCACTAGTGCGGTAGTCAAGCGTCTACGGAATTTGCTATCTGTTAATACTCCCTATTCAGCTTTCTTATTCAATTCTCAAAATCCCTTCTTATTTCATGCGCTAAGTTCCTGCAGCATCTTGTTCATTTCACAAACACTGCTGTCATCCGCCAAGCATTAGTGGCGCAACTTTTTTCAGTAATACCCTAAGCGACTTCCCAGCCTAGTTTTTGAGTGAATATCTCAAAGTATGCCCTGAAATCCTAAATAACTGTCCTTCTTTATTTCCATCCCAATACGTGCAGAAAATGCTTCGGCGTTAGAATAATCCATTCTTTGAAGAGGCAAAAATATAATTCGTTGTGCTTCATTTAATTTGGAGTCCACTTTGCTGAACGACTGCATTCGAGAAACAGTGAAACAGTTCAGACTAGCATTTTTTGCTTGCCCCTTTAATTTTTACTACTCTCCCGCGTTTCTTAAGCAAAAAGTATTTTTTTCACTTATTGTAAAACACAGAAACTGAGTCTTTTGTACGTAAAAGAAGGGAAATATCTTTTCAAGTATATTTACTAACTTGTAACTGAAAGATGGGTTTTCTGTCTCAAAGTCCTAAAAAATTGCTGAGAATTTTATAAGGCTCAAAATTTTGTTGTTAGATTCAAATGCCGATTACTTAGGTTCAGACTCGTTTATCATTTTTCTTTTCTGGTTAGTAGTAGTAATTATGCACAACTTACACACATTGACTCGTGACACCCACTCTATTCGTCTGGAAACGCTTACGTGGCAATCATAAATACCTTCATTCTCTTTTTGAGCTACATACAGAACGAGAAGCCCATCGCGACTTCGGAATGAAAAACGACTGCAATGTAATCAAATTAGAAAATTGCTTCTTAAACATGGACTCTTCTGGGCAGTCGAATCAGAAATCTGAGGTGAATCTGAGAATGGAGCGTTCTATCTTTGCAGTATCAAAGCGTTCTATTTGGAAGCTGAAATTTTAAGTTGGGAATCCTTATCTACGTATGATGTCGCAAACACAATTTCAGTGTCCGCCTGCGTCTAGATTGCGTAAAAGTTTTAGCTGATAACTCAGGAACTGTAAAAGCTAGGAGGCTGAAATTTTGGTAGAATTCTCCCTGCTCGCGTAGGCCCCTAATTTTAAAATCACTTTTCATGTGCGCCTTGGCTTTGCGTGCGGGCACACGAAAGATTTGGCGCCGAAATTATTAACTCGGGGATTAGAAGAGCAAGGAAATTGAAATTTCAAAATAATACTCACTACCCGCCCACAAATCAGACTCCGTGTGTGCCCAGATCTCACATACGGAAACATTGCGATTTCGGCATCAAAACTAATAACTCGGGAACCACAAAATTTTTTATATCAAACAATAATGCCAGTGGGACTTTCAACAGCAAGTTTCCCCTGGACAGAGTTGCACAAGTGTCTGTTGGACAGGGTTGCGCAAAACGCAAGACCGCACCAGTTATTTTGGTTCGCATTGCTAATTATTCCTGTTAAGACAATTGTAATGACTCCAGAAAAGTCTGCATCATTGCAACGTCTGTACCATATGGGAGTGATCACAGCGAATTCTGGAACCTCAAAAAGCTCTTCTGTCACCTGTTATTGATTTTTCCAAACTGAATTGCTGGTCCTCCATCCGC